AAGTTTGTTACTCTTGAGAAAGTCAGTGACCTCGACGCTATGTTGCGCGAAGGTGTCCTGAGGTGCACAGGGTGTTGGGTAAATGTATCCCCTGAGGTACACAGGGTGTTGGGTAAATGTATCCCCTGAGGTACACAGGGTGTTGGGTAAATGTGCCCCCTGAGGTACACAGGGTGTTGGGTAAATGTGTTCCCCTGAGGTACACAGGGTGTTGGGTAAATGTGTCCCCTGAGGTGCACAGGGTGTTGGGTAAATGTGTCCCCTGAGGTGCACAGGGTGTTGGGTAAATGTGTCCCCTGAGGTGCACAGGGTGTTGGGTAAATGTGCCCCCTGAGGTACACAGGGTGTTGGGTAAATGTGTTCCCCTGAGGTACACAGGGTGTTGGGTAAATGTGCCCCCTGAGGTACACAGGGTGTTGGGTAAATGTGTCCCCTGAGGTGCACAGGGTGTTGGGTAAATGTGTCCCCTGAGGTACACAGGGTGTTGGGTAAATGTGTTCCCCTGAGGTACACAGGGTGTTGGGTAAATGTGTCCCCTGAGGTACACAGGGTGTTGGGTAAATGTGTTCCCCTGAGGTACACAGGGTGTTGGGTAAATGTGTCCCCCTGAGGTACACAGGGTGTTGGGTAAATGTGTCCCCTGAGGTACACAGGGTGTTGGGTAAATGTGCCCCCTGAGGTACACAGGGTGTTGGGTAAATGTATCCCCTGAGGTACACAGGGTGTTGGGTAAATGTGTCCCCTGAGGTACACAGGGTGTTGGGTAAATGTATCCCCTGAGGTGCACAGGGTGTTGGGTAAATGTGTCCCCTGAGGTACACAGGGTGTTGGGTAAATGTGTTCCCTGAGGTACACAGGGTGTTGGGTAAATGTATCCCCTGAGGTACACAGGGTGTTGGGTAAATGTGTCCCCTGAGGTACACAGGGTGTTGGGTAAATATGTCCCCTGAGGTACACAGGGTGTTGGGTAAATGTGTCCCCTGAGGTACACAGGGTGTTGGGTAAATGTGTCCCCTGAGGTACACAGGGTGTTGGGTAAATGTGTCCCCTGAGGTACACAGGGTGTTGGGTAAATGTGTCCCCTGAGGTACACAGGATGTTGGGTAAATGTATCCCCTGAGGTAAACAGGGTGTTGGGTAAATGTGTCCCCTGAGGTAAACAGGGTGTTGGGTAAATGTATCCCCTGAGGTACACAGGGTGTTGGGTAAATGTGTCCCCTGAGGTAAACAGGATGTTGGGTAAATGTGTCCCCTGAGGTACACAGGATGTTGGGTAAATGTGTCCCCTGAGGTACACAGGGTGTTGGGTAAATGTGTCCCCTGAGGTACACAGGGTGTTGGGTAAATGTGTCCCCTGAGGTAAACAGGGTGTTGGGTAAATGTGTCCCCTGAGGTACGCAGGGTGATGGGTAAATGTGTCCCTGAGGTACACAGGGTGTTGGGTAAATGTGTCCCCTGAGGTACACAGGGTGTTGGGTAAATGTGTCCCCTGAGGTAAACAGGGTGTTGGGTAAATGTGTCCCCTGAGGTGTACAGGGTGTTAGGTAAATGTGTCCTGAGCGACACAGGGTGTTAGGTAAATGTATCCTGAGCTTCTAAATCAATATATATTCTATATTGTCAACGGTTGTCTCTGTGATTAACATTATATTATATATATATATATATATATATATATATATATATATATATATATATATATAATCCTCATATAACAGTTGAGGCTGCCCAGCTGACGTGTCTGTAGTGTAATAATCTTATCCAGCTTCAAGCTTCAAGGGGATAAAGATTCCCGTTCAGTAAAATTTCCCTCCCAGTACCTATGGGAGTACCTATCCCATTCCCCAAGATCTCAGTCTTCGGGTTCTGTATTTTCAATCCCACTTCTAAAGCTGTTTATTTTTTTCCTTCGAGTCGCTGCTCACAGTTCTTGACACTCACTGATTCATATTCCTGGTTCAAGGGTCAGTGGGAGCCGGTCGGCCGAGCGGACAGCACGCTGGACTTGTGAACCTGTGGTCCTGGGTTCGATCCCAGGTGCCGGCGAGAAACAATGGGCAGAGTTTCTTTCAGTAAAATAGGTACCTGGGTATTAGTCAGCTGTCACGGGCTGCTTCCTGGGGGTGGAGGCCTGGTCGAGGACTGGGCCGCGGGGACACTAAAAAAAAAGCCCCGAAATCATCTCAAGATAACCAGTGACCGTATTTCCAACTCTAAGATTTCGTGTCACAATTATAGCTTTCTTGATCTCACAAGTTTCAGTGACTATTTCTATCCCATAAAGATTGAACTTAAGTATAAAGCGTCTTTCTTTCAGGTAGAGGAAAGCCAGTCGTTGCTCTTTGCTCCTCCGGGAACGTCTTTTATGTTTCCTAATGTTAATAACACACCTCTCAAATCCATCGCTAAATTCCACGGACAAACAATACTGCCCAAAGTGCTTTTACCTCCAGATTCTCGCTTCTTGTATTCTGGGCGCAAATTATTCATTGAAAATTCAACTCCTCGATTTTCAGGCTCTCCTCTGCCCCCCGGCTTCATTGTCGAGTCTTGGGTTTAACTTTCTCACACAAAAAACTGACGAACTCTGACTCAAAAACACCGACCCACCGGGATGAAAGATCACAGTTTTATTTCCTCTGACTACAATTTTTCACTGACGAAGCATTCGCCTCCGAAGTTTATGTTACAGTGACACAATTTATTTATTTCCTTGGTATATATTTAAATTTAAATTTTCAATGATGGTTTCAACTACATCTCCGGTTTCCAGTAACGATATCTTCCAGTTTTCAGTGGCGAAGATTTCAAGTTTCGTATGTCGGATTAGTCATTTACGATAACACATATAAATGTATTTTAAATTCTGAATTAAAAAGCATTTTCATACGCTTAAGATATCTTGCTTCAGTTGCTTCATATACATGGAGGACTCTTTTTCAAGTATGTACGGGCCCAGCACGTATGTGAGGCTCCATCTAACTGGTGTGTCCAGTGAATCACTTGGATGTCCATCTTGGCTCTGAGTGCCGCCAAGTATCTGAACGTCAAGGTTCCTCAAGCACCGCAATTATCACAAGGGCGAGTCCACACATCTTCCCTTTACAGTACCACAACCAAAAGCTAATATCATGTTCTCTAACAAATGCCTCTTTTGTCTGTGTCTGTCTGTCTGTTTCTCTCTCTCATCTCTTTCGATTTTCCTCTCAACCTCCCCTCCCTCCCCTTACTCTCTCTCTCTCTCTCTCTCTGGTTTTCTCTAATTCCACTTCTCAGATTACTTCACGGAAGTCCAAATCTCATTTTAATTGGTCTTGGATTAATCCTGCAACTCTTTGCTAGTGCGACTTAGGGCTCTACGTGTTTGGCTCTGGGAAGATAGAGACGACTCTGTGTGTGTACCTCGGGAATGATTAGATTATTGTGAAGAGAATATAAAAATATAAGGACAGTATAAACAGCTGACTTCATCAGTAAATATATGATGACTGGACGGTCAACAGCCAGTTATCGTGCGTCGTACCAGCTGATTACTTCAGTCGGACCGTCGAATACGACTGCTTAACTTTACATATTCTGAAGAATTGTTAAAGATGGGTTGAAAATAGGAAATATCCTTCGAAAAGTATTGTATATACGACAAATATGTCAAACGTACAAAAATTACCTGTTGTAACGAAAGAAATTCACATTTAGTATTATCTGAACATTCCACATGTCACATTAGGAGTGGAACAGTAAATACAACCTAACCTAACCTAACCTAACCTAGCCTGTCCTAGACCTAAATAAGCAATTTTAGGTCTAATTTACGCCATCTCAGGATATATATATATATATATATATATATATATATATATATATATATATATATATATATATATATATATATTTATAGGAGAGAGAGAGAGAGAGAGAGAGAGAGAGAGAGAGAGAGAGAGAGAGAGAGAGAGAGAGAGAGAGAGAGAGAGAGAGAGAGAGAGAGAGAGAGAGACAGACAGACAGGCAGACAGACTGGAACAGAGAGAAACAGATAGATAGGCGAGGAGGGGACAGGGGTTATAGACGACCTTCTCGACGCCATTTGGACAGAGGAAGTATTAAAGGGATGATCATTCAGAGGTCAACCCAGCATCCGCATTCCTTGTATCTGCGACCCACGATGCAATCCTCATTCCGGCCGGGAGATAAGTGTATCTCACCCAGCCTCCGTCCCCTCCTCCTGCTCCTCCCAGCTGCCTCGTAACTATCCATCAAGGACATCATTATCTAGAAAGGGCTTCAAAGGGCAAGGGGGGAAATGGACGAGAGGAGAGAAGGGTTGCAAAAATAAAGAGGGCAGAATGAGAGGGGAGGGGGGTCGGGGGGGGGGGGGGGTGGGGAGAAGATGTAGTAGAGGAAAAGAGGCATTTAGGAGTCACGCAGATCTCCCCCCGCCTGCCAGTGAGGCTGAGAAATGTGACCTCGCTGGGTTGGCGGGCGTCAGTAGCCCTCGTGAGGTGCGGGGAGGCGGACGCTCGTGTGTGTATGTGTGTGTTGTGTGCTTTTGTCGCGCGGTACCCGCAAGCTGACCCGCCTTAGTCGGCTCTCTGCCCACTCACACCCACACGCCCAGCTGGCCTGAAAGCTGGTTGCAATCTTCACAAAATGTTTACCATTGCTTTTTCTAATGTAAACATCAGAACTAGAACCAAAATCTTGTCCAAGAAGTGAGAGCAAAGAGTGCAGTGGTGGGTGGATCTGGAGAAGCTTATAGCGCTATCACTTTTCCTTCCAAAGTGACCGCCACTGAAGCAGAAAACAATAGGGAATCCTGATTAATTGCAGGCAATCTCCGCGGAGGGCGCGCGGAGGCTGTGAGACATTATTCCTATGATATATATATATATTGTGGTGAAAGTTGTAACGTTCTCCTGTGAAAAGGGGGCATCCAGTGACCCCTCTTTTTCCTCCTCTCATCAACCCCCCCCCCCCCCTCCCACACACACACAGCACCCCCCCCCCCCAAGAGGGGTGTGGGAGCCCACATTCACAAAAAAAACACAACATTCTCACCATCTGATGATGTCACCAGAGGAAAGAGTACATCCGGATGAGCTGAAATTGATGAGCTGAAGTGACTTGATGAATCTCTACAGACGAAAGCTGGAAACCTAGTCGACTGACGGATGGGAAATCGTTTTGCACGGCGGCGCCTGACTTGGATTAGAAGGGTTTTTCCCTAGCAAAATTCTGGCGTCAGGTTCTGGAGTGATTTATTGGTCTGCGAAACTGCGGGTGTGAGACGACGGCTCTACTGTCCATCTCTTTATATGTCAACACTTTGAAAAAAAAATAGATCTTGACATGATCAGTCGTAACCTGACGTCTAAGTAATCAACATTACATATCATTATACAAGTTGAGAATTTTTTTTTGTAACTAAAGTGATCGGAAAATTCTTCTTGATTCAATTTGAAAGTGATCTGGTAATGGACAGTGTTGGTGGTGGTTGTGTAGAGGACCACACACACCTGTAATGGAGGAGAGGGCCACTAGTCCCCTCCTCCCTATCTGCGCCCTCCCACGGGGGCCCTCCTCTTCTGCATGAGCCAAGGTGAGCTTAGGGTAAAAGGGGGCCGGGGGCTATGAAGTTTGTTACTGCTAATCCCTAATGCAATTTAATCGGTAACCCAAGGCAATTAAACTGAACCATCACTGGCGGATTTCCCCATGATAAGTTGAAGGAAACTTCACGAAAATTGGTTCATGGGAGGTTGGGGGAGCAGGGGGGGGGGAAATGGTGTTGCATTGGAATTGTTTTTTTTGCTGCTCGTATTTATATAATATGACTAATGAATGATGGTCAACAAGCTGTTAGAGAAGTACAGCGGTGGTGCAGCTCCCAGTACAAGCTTTAGGGGAAGCACAGCGGTGATGCATCTTCCAGTACGAGCTGTTAGAGAAGTACAGCGGTAGTGCAGCTTCCAGTACAAGCTTTAGGGGAACCACAGCGGGTACAAGCTGTTAGAGAAGCACAGCGTTGATGCAGCTTCCAGTACAAGCTTTAGGGGAAGCACAGCGGTGATGCAGCTTCCAGTATAAGCTTTAGGGGAAGCACAAGCTTTGAGGGGGAGGGGTGCCGCTTCCCCAGCACCGCCACTATCATGCAGGCGCTGCCCTGGCGGCTGTCCTTTGCTCGCCCGGTGCAGGCAACGTCTTCACTAGTCTGGCGACCGAACCAAGTCGACAAAAACTTCAAGTGCACTTCTTGTATCGTGATTCACCGGTAAATCACCCGAAATGGTCGATCCGCAGCGGCACACGCAGCTGCGTCCTGCAGTTTGACAGTCAATAAAAGATGTTTATGCATGCCAATAGCGTCTCCGCGATTACTGATTATGAGTAAACGATATTGTGGGTTCAGGGGCCGGGGTTATAGGTTCCCCGAGGACTCACGACCAGTAGCTCAGGCAGCCTCTAGCTCTCCCTGGGATAATCTCCGTTAAATTAAACCACAACACTTTCCTCGTTAGCCGAAAATGGCTTATATTACTCTGGTTTGAGGCGGGACCTGGACCAACTCTCGCACCGATATTCTAGGATGTTCCCGCTTTTCCGGCACTTTAAAGCCGCTCTTGCCCGCCACGGATGACTGTGGTCGGTGGGTGAGACAAGTGATGGATGCTGGCCGGTATCAGTGGTCGTTAGGGGGGTTTGTAGCGATAGATGCATTCACGAGTGACCCTGTAGAGATAATTGTTTTCACAAGAGAGTTTTCACCATGCAGCGATATATGTGTTCTCAAAATTGTTGACGTTCGAACATTTTTTCGAATTGTACTTCGCTTTTGATCTCTGTTCGAATCGCTACTCCGTAAATGCTTCACAAATAATGCATCATGTATCATGTATTTCAAACACAAATAATCGTCAACAGAAACTAGACACCTAACGTAAACTACGCTTAACTATGCATACAATATTAATACTGATTAATATTAATATATAAATGATAACAAACCTATTTTTAATACTCACTAAATTAAAAATGAGGAATACGTCTTGGCCGCTGCTTCAACAAGCCTGGTATGAGGACGGACAGCCCTCATAAACTCGTTAATCCAGCCGCCAAACCCCCCTGTTTATGAGTGAAAAGCAGTTTATGCACGACTCACAACTGATGACGTCCGAACACTTCCGGAACAAGTGCTTCGCTTATGTCCTCTGTTCGAACCACAATTCATCAAATACAAATAATCGCCAACAGAACCTAAACACCTAATCTAACCTACACCTAACTGTACATATAATTTTTATATATAATAATATTAACTTATATATGATACTAAACCAATTTTTAATACACAGTATATTAAAGTCGATGAATGCGTATGGGGAGGACGGCCGCTGCTTTAAACAGCGGCCAAATCCAAAGCATTGGTTAGGTTAGGTGTTTAGGTTCTGTTGGCGATTATTTGCATTTGTAGAACGTGGGTGAAGCATTTATAGCATTGTAGTTCGAACAAAATTCGTCAGTGAAGCACTTGTTCCGGAAGTGTTCGAAGGAAATCAGTTGTGAGTCATGTGTAAACCGTTTTTAATTCATAAACAGGGGGTTTGGCGGGTGCATGGAATGAACTTTGGCCTTTGTTTATGAGATCGGGCTGTAAAATTTATAAATGCGCCTTTGGGGTCGTCATTAGCTTGGAAGAGCATAACCTGAACATATGGGTTGGTGTACACTGCTCATCCTCAGATCATTGGACAAATGCACCTTAATCCAATGGCTGTCTTCTCTTTTCTGGATTACAGATTACAGATTTCTTAGTTACAGTCCCGCTCCTGTGCCAGGTAAGTCCACTACGGGCTCACCATAGTCCGTGCTACCTGTAACTTTTTGTTCCCAGTACCTGAATGTAAAACAACATGTTTCTGGATGAAGAACTTTATCAGAGTTTTGCTCACTTCCATTTTTCAGTTTGCACCTATATAGATATTTCATCGACGTTCAGTAAATATATAAATAATTTGTAACAAAACCAAAATATTTAACCTAATTCAAACAAGTTGCAAAAATGTTAATATATATAATAATATTAATTTACATATAAACAATGTTTTTAACAGAGTAAAAAACAAAAAAAACTAACGAGTGCAAGTTTTGATAATGGGCTCAGCGTTGAGGATCAAAGTCAGAGGATGGGTGCGTTGGTGGCAGCCTACCAGCCCGTGGTGGGTTGGTGGCTGCCTACCAGCCCCTGGTGGGTTGGTGGCTGCCTACCAGCCCGTGGTTGGTGGATTGGTGGCAGCCTACCAGCCCGTGGTGGGTTGGTGGCAGCCTACCAGCCCGTGGTGGGTTGGTGGCAGCCTACCAGCCCGTGGTGGGTTGGTGGCTGCCTACCAGCCCGTGGTTGGTGGATTGGTGGCAGCCTACCAGCCCGTGGTGGGTGGATTGGTAGCAGCCTACCAGCCCGTGGTGGGTTGGTGGCAGCCTACCAGCCCGTGGTGGGGTGGTAGCAGCCTACCAGCCCGTGCACTAAACACGGTCCAACAGCGGCGGATTTATCCCTTCTGAATGTAATATGCCGACACCCATATTATTTTCTTAAGCCTCATTCACCTCCAGCGATCAAAGCAGCATATCCTCACAAGTAATGGCCAAATGATTGTTAGTCCAGCCGCGAAAAACCGTTTGTAAATGAAAAACAGTTGACACACGACTCGCAACTGATGATGTTAAAGCTTTTCGTGAATAGTGCTTCGCTATCTTCCGGTGTTTGAAATGCTCTTCTCTAAAGGCCTCACCCACGAGCAACAAATACAAATAACTGCCAAACACAGCCTCAACACCTAACCTAGGCTTAACTACACACTAAATTGAAGTATTAGATCATTATTTAATTGTATTCAATAACATATAGTCTGCGGATACTGAGCACGTCAATGTTGACGATTGCGTCTCATCTTAAATCCTTATGCTCATATTCCTTCCAGGTGCTATATATATATATAACACTTGGAAGGGCATAAGGATAAGATAAGGTAAATATTAGGAGAGAGCACTTAGCCATTACGACTGCTTTCTCCTGATATTGACTTTACCTTACAGGGAAGAGTGTAGTTTTCCTGCACTATGTACCGTCCTCTGGTACCTGGTCCCGTTGTCGTCACCTTACACTTGCACCAACTTTGTAACTTATCTAAGTCATCTTGGAGGGTCTTACATAGTTCCCTGCTTCCCTCTCTCTTCCATCTTCCCCTGCCTTCCTCCCTCTTCCATCGTGCTCTGCCCACCTCCCTGTCCCACCGTGCCCTGCCCACCTCCCTGTACCACCGTGCCCTGCCCACCTCCCTGTCCCACCGTGCCCTGCCCACCTCCCTGTACCACCGTGCCCTGCTTACCTCCCTGTCCCACCGTGCCCTGCCCACCTCCCTGTACCACCGTGCCCTGCCCACCTCCCTGTCCCACATTGCCCTGCCCACCTCCCTGTCCCACCGTGCCCTGCCCACCTCCCTGTCCCACCGTGCCCTGCCCACCTCCCTGTACCACCGTGCCCTGCCCACCTCCATGTCCCACCGTGCCCTGCCCACCTCCATGTCCCACCGTGCCCTGCCCACCTCCATGTCCCACCGTGCCCTGCCCACCTCCCTGTCCCACCGTGCCCTGCTTACCTCCCTGTCCCACCGTGCCCTGCCCACCTTCCTGTCCCACCGTGCCCTGTCCCACCTTCCCGTGTTAGGACTCATACGTATCCTAGTCACATTCGCCGCCAGAGACGTTGACCAAAAAATCCCATGTGTAGAGAAAATTTAGTCTCCGAGTATGGGCGATAGCGGCCAGGCGTGTCGCGTTTCTTTCCTCGTCTCCTTCTTCTTTCCCTCTCTACATTCTCTTTTCTTCCTCTCTCCCTCTCTCTCTACATTTCCTCTTCTACCTCTTCCTCTGTTTATTCTGCTCCTCTCTGTCCACCTACCCATCCATTACTTCTCTTCTTCTCATCCACTACCTCTCATTTCCTCATACATTTCCTCCTTTACTTCTCCTCCTCCTCCTCCTCCTTCTCCTCGCCCTTGGCCACAAACTGGCGATTCCCGCCGACATCTTCATGGAGGAAGTGTTGGGTCGTTTGGGCGAGGCTCGCCACCCCATTCCTGGGGAGCCGGAGCCCTGCTTTATAGCGTTCACTTGCCCACACCTCCGTGGCCGGCTGCAGCACCCTGCAGAGCTGCCGTTGACAACCATCCGGCCCTTGGCAGGTGTTTCTGGCATCCCCCCCCCTCTCTCCCTCCCTTTCTGTGTCAAGCATCCGGTCAGTGGCCGCCGACAAATCTTCACACATATCCGCCTTTGCTGCCGTAAGTTTTCAACATATCGGAAGGATACAGCCGTCAAATTCTGTAGTGTTGATCAACTTCTACCGTCAACCTTTCATTCCTCTTCCGTCAATTGATGCCGTCTATCCTCATATGAGCAATGGAGCAGAGTGTAAGTTGTTTTGTTATGGCGAATGCAGAAATTCGCTTTGTTTCGACTCTGGTCTGGTCGAGTCGATTTTGTTTTGGTTAGGTTAGGCCTATTCTGGGTGGGCATGATTGGATTATGCCAGGTCCGGTG